AAAAAAAAAAAAAAAAGGACATTCCGGGGCAGGAATCGGGGGTCAGCAAGACTGTTTCCTGCAAGGCTTTGTTGGAATGAGCAAATTGCTGGTCCACCGCTAGATTCCGGATTAATTTGCAACGTTGGGAACAGAAGTCCCTTCTGTGGTTTTTATAGGAGGTCCAGAAGTAGCTGCTTCCCTCATTTTTGGGACCTTCTTGATCAGCCTCTTCCTTATCCTGTGTGTTGCGTCGTTCTTCTACCTCAAACGTGCCAATAAACTCCCCAATCTCTTCTATCGAAGAAGCAAAGGTAAGCTGGACCTGCAGCTGTTGCAGTTCAAGCCTCGGGGGGAAAATGTGATGGCCAGCAGTTCTCGTGGAGGAAAGGAGTTCAAATTCCTCTCCTTGGCCCCCTAATCCAGCCGGAAATCCTCGCAGGCTCTCCAGAAACAAATCCCTTGGTGGGGAGGGAGCACTTTTAGGTCGGTGCGCATCATCGAAATGGACTTCCGATACACTCTTTTGTTATCCATTTCTGTGTTTTCCAGGGTCCATTGTACAGTCTGCTGAATCAGTAAGTATGAATCCGTCGGTCAGGAGTGTGAATTTCTGAGATCTGGCAAAGCCTCATGAGGCAAGAAGGTGGATGAGGATGATGGGTGGTGAAGCTCCCACTGTCTGGAAGGCCCCAGGTGGCCCCTTCCTGCTCACTTTCCTCTGATCTGTGAGCAAACCTGTTTTTTCAGAGGGTGGTGTGTTGCAATCTGAGCAAGACACGGAGCAAAACTGGGTGTTGGGCGTCCCCAAACCTCGTTAGAGGGCTGGAGGGAATGTCCAGACCAGCGTTTTTCAAATTCGGCAACGTGGAGATGCGTGGACTTCAACTCCCAGAATTCCCCAGCCAGCTGGGAATCGAAGTCTGGGAACTGAATTCTGGGAGTTGAAGTCCACATATCTTCACGTTGCCGAATTTGAAAAACACTGGTCTAGATAACCCAGTCCCAATGAGAAATTAAGGGATGAATTCCCCATAGATCTTCCCATTACGGGTAGAATCGGCTGTCAATTTTCCTGAGAAGCTAGGGCAGGGGGGTGGTTTATCTTAACGGAAGGCTCCCTTGTACCAAACTTCATCTTTATTTTCTATTTTTAGGCATCCATGTTATCCCCACCTTCTTCAAGTAAGGATTTTTCTCTCTCCACGTCTCTTTCTCTGAATTGTGTTGTGCAAAATGCCTTATCCAGGTGTCACCAGCAACGAGGGTATTTAAGCAGGAAAAACCCCTTGCTTTTTATCCAGACGAGCTATTCCAAAGGAAGATAGGGATCCTGGTTGGCTTTGGAAGTCTGATTTTTCCCCCCCCCATTTTATCCTAAGAAATCTCCTCTCACCACCCAGCAGCTCTTCGCCCAGTCCCTGGTAATGGTTCTCTCCCCACTTCCACCGCCCTGAACAGCAATGGCCCTTCAGGAGAGAGGCTTTCAAAACAGACTGAGCCACACAGGATTTTACGGGTGCGCTTGAAAAAAGCGTTTTTCAGCTCGCCTCGCTGGGGTGCCTCCAACAGTTCAGTCTGCCTGAATAAATCCCAGGTGGCTTGTTTTTGGTCTCTGCAGACTGCAGACGCACACGGCGCTTCGGGCGGCGGGCGGCTGGAGCAGAAAAAATAATTACAGTGGGGGACAGGATTTCTTCCCACCTCCTGTTCCTCGGCAAAATTGTCTTAATAAGCATGTGGAGCCGTCCCTAGGGAGCCCTTGTTTTCCAAATCAAAATATTGTATCCTCCTTGTATATCATTTTAAAAATGCAAGTGTTCCCCCCCATTTTTCTTTTTCGTTTTTTTTTTAATTGGGGTTTCGTGTAATGTGATAAGCCGGAGTCCAAAGAGAAAGCATATGGGAATCGGCCGTGCAATATTTCTGAGAAGGGAGGGCTATTGGGCCAAGTGACCCGATTTTCAGTCGGTTGGGCTGTGCTGTTGCAAAGGGGGGGTCTAGGGGATGAAATATCCCTGCGTATAAAAAACTCCCTGTAGTGGAAAAAGCAGGGCGCCCTCTTGGCAAACTGGAGCCCAGACTTCTAGTAGAGTCAGAAGAATATTTGAGCGCTCTGATTTTTCTTCCAAGGCATCTTCTCTTTCTTTCCTCCTCCTCTGCCTCCTCCCTCCGATTCAGCTTGGGAAATCTGTAAAAATAGAAGGAGAGTTTTCCTTCTTGTTTTCCAAAGGGGTGAAAGAGCATCTGACTGCTCTCCTAAAGTTCTTTGGAAGTCTGCAAAAAGTCCCCTTTGCCCTAAAATGAATGTTAAGCCTCTTTCATGGGACTCAGGATAGGAACTAACAGCCTCTCTCTCTTGGCCCCAGTCCGGAAACCCCGCTACGTCCGAAGGGAGCGTTCGCTCGTGACCTCCGGCACCAGCACGATCCTGTCCGCCGAGACTCGGGTCAGCAACGTGTAGCAGCCAAGGCTTGTCCCAGCCCGCGAAATGGGGACACCGGAGTTTGATTAGCCTTAGGAGAGAGACGGTCGGAGCGACTCTCTCGGATGGGACGCCAAGTTCGTCTTCCTGCTTGCCAAGCCGTTGCGACAGGTCCCTTTGCAAGTTCAACCTGGGATTTCTTCAGCCGCGACGGAGGGAACCGCTTTGAGGAAGCGGCCATGCTTCGAGATTAACTCAAGTGCCATATTTTGGGGGCGGGCGGGCAGCATTTTGGGAAATGAAATCACACTGCTTCCCAGAGGTGGTTTTCTCAGATACAGGCTAGGCTCCTAGAAAGCACATTGCCTCCCTTCCTGTTCTGTATTTTTCATAGTTTGACCGAGGCCTTAAGCTCAGGGCAGCACTGCCATTTTTGAGCATTCATTGGTTTGCTTCTCTCCTTTTATCTTTGCATCTGGAAGGGACCGAGCCAAGGTCCTCCTCCTCTGGAAAAGCCCTAGCCTGCTCCCCAGGTTCTTCGGGGTGCTGGCCAGTCCCCATCTCGGACAGGCCAGGCCCGTCTTCCCCCATAGCCAGCCTTGGAAGCCTAGAGTAAGTTCTGCAAGGAGTCAGCAGCTCGCCTCATGGCCTCGGCTCGCCAGCAGTGAGGAAGGTGGGGAATTGGAACTACTCTCTTGGCCTTCGGTTTGCTGCTCCGTAAAAGTAAATCTAGAGCCTTCAGGCGGGGCCCAAACCCAGTAGGTGGTTTAGCTTCCGGATCGATGCGTGTCTCCGTTTTCCCCATAAGTGAACTTGCTTCCCCCCCACCTGCACCCTATGCAGATTTCCTAACCCCAGTTCCTTCAGTGACTTTATGCAAATCGAAGAGCGCAAGTTCTGAACTCCCCAAAGGCGATGCAGAGAAGATCAACAACTGTAAATTGCCCCAAATTGCTCCTCCTGCCTCTGTAAAGGGTTTCTTCAACTGTTTTTAATTTGGGGGTGGATTTGATTCAGGGCAGGTTATCTAGGAAGTGGAGCACAGCACCCATTCCTAAACAGTCGGCGCCCTTGCCAGCTGTTTGAGCTGGCCACAAGACGGGTGTGGTAGAAGTCACATGCCTTCCTTCTGTCTTTTTGCTAAATAAGGATGTTGTGTTCTCCTTGCCTCACTTTCCGTTAAGGCCTGGGCACTTGTGGCCTTCCAGAAGTTGTCAGAATACAAATCCCATCCTTAGCATTGGCCACGCTAGCTGGGTTCATGAGATAAAATCCAAAAGCCTATGGCCAACCACAGGTTCCCTAGTCTTGCTATACATGCATCTTTCATCTCCCTTTTTTTTAAATGTGAGTAGTATTTGTTGTTACTGAAATTGCATGGTTATTATTTTGGATTCTTTCCTCCCCTTGAGCTTTTTATAATCCCTGTTGGGGGAAAGTGACTTGGGAAGAGCCTATGGAAGTCCTGAGATTCTTTTTCCTCTTTTTTACTCCCTCTGATTGACCAAGATACTATGCAATGAAACCATGCTATCTCCTTACACACGAAGCCGGTCCTTTCCTTCCTGGTGCATTTGTGGCTTGTTTTAGCTAGGGTTATTTTTTCCTCTCCGGGCAGACTTTTAGCTCTTGTTTCATTGTCTGGTACCGTGTTTCAACCCCAAGGACATGCCTTGAATCTCCGACCCATAGCAAGTTTGGAATTGTTTCTTATTCCACGATTGTACTTTTCTTTCGGTCGTGCACAGACGGAACTGCACCATCTGCAGCGGGGAAAAAGGATTTGTTCTTTCAGCAGAAAGGGTGAACAATTTTGAAGTGAGCCATTTAAACCAAAACACTGGAATAGTTGCAGTTTCTTTTCTTTTTCTTTTTTTTAATTCCTTCACACCATTGTGTCAAATGCAAAACGCGTGGGTTTGTATATACATCTTTATTTTTTCACTCCCTCCTCTTTCACCTCCCCCCTTCCCTCTGCCTTGAATAAAAGCACACCGAATCTGACATATTTTTAATGTTAAAAGAAGACTGATCTGGTGAATTACTAACGGGGGGGGGGGGGGGGGGG